TCATCAGGAGGGAGTACTATGTCTCTAGGTCGCTTTACTTTTCAAATCTAATAATCATGAGTGATTTTGTCGATGAGAGCTCCTAATCTCATTCTTTGCATTTTCTTCCATGCTTGGATCAATTACTATGAGTTTTTTGGTGGATTTGGTTTTCTGTAAATGAATTCTACTTGAACCAGGCCATGAGTAGCAAGAATAAACTGTTTTGCACCAAATTGCCTAAGTATCACCAACGGAGCGTAACTTACAATACCCTATAACCCTAACAGCAGTATCCATAACTCTTTTCCTCCATGATACAATAAAGGCACACGAGGCATCCAAGGCACCATCCATTCAATTTCATCGCCTGTAAGCTTTCGTAAAAAAATGACCCATTTTTCTTTAGTCTTTAATATTGGCCATCAGCTTTTGCAGAACTCTTCAATTGGTGCTTGTTTCATAGATATGACTTTGAAAATGCACTCTTCTAATACTTGAAATGACTTTTGACCCATACATATAATAGTGATGCATATCCTATGAACCATCATTTTTCATTCCGTCAATAAAAATTCAATGACTTGATGGTTTTAGCTAGGACTGTTAGAGCAGGATTAATTACTTGGGTTTCAATTTGCTTAAAAAAGTCTACCACAGTTATCTCAATGTAACCCAAAGTCTTCGAAAAGATTACCATGCCATACAATACTAGAGAAAACACAGCCATATCTTGATCATCATTTAAATACCCTTGAATGAAGTTTCAAAGAAAGTCCCAACTAATGCTGAGATGTTTACCTTTAGGCTTTACGAATGAATCAATGGTTCTCACTTTAACTTTTTACGATAACCTAAATTTGACTTTCAAGTAAACACTTTATCTGGATATTGTAGTTCTATTTCAAGCAAAACTGAATATTCTTCAATAGTTGGCACCAAATCTATTTGATTAGAAGTGAAGCATTTATAAGACGGATCCTAAAACTGTATAGCTACCCAAATCAACTGTTCATTGATCATTATTAGAATGAGGGATGCAATTTGCTCATACTTTTTACAAAAGTTTTTTCTTTTCTTCACTTAATTGACCCCAAATGACGGCTAAGTTTTCTAAATCATTCTGTGTGAGATCCAAATGCACCTTCTTAGGTAACTCTGACACATAGTCGACAGGTAAGCAATCTTTATTCTTTTGTTGGGCTTCTTTTGACCAAACATATATTTCATTATATGGCTCATATAGGACACTGATCGAGGATAAGCAAATTTGTAGCTCTACGGGATCCATGAAAACTTTTTAGGAGAAATATTTCATAAAGCAAATATCTCGATGTAGAACTGTATGATATGATTAATGCAAAAAAGAAAAAGAAAATGAAACAAAATTGAGTTAGTGTGAAAATGTGGTTTGAGAAAAAATATGTTTTTGAGTTTTGAGATTTTTTGGTTTTATTTTGTTTTGTTTTGTATTACACACAACTTTTATTCTCTGGTATTTCTTATAAGAAGGTGGACAAGGCTCTACCTAAGGCTGGTTTCCTAGGCTTATTGCATGTTGGGTTTGGATTGACACATGTCTAAAGGTTCCCAAATTGTTACCCACTGTTGTCCATGCTGGACTAGTAAGGTACCTCGATCCTCACTCATTACAGGCTACGAACAGAAATGGTTCAATTTGAGTTGAAGTATTTCACTTGCCATTACGGAGGTTATTACCTTACGAGGGCATAAGTACTCTACTTCCTCCTATAAGGGACGAAACCTGGGTATAGAGCTCATGCATGAGATGCATCGAGTTTTTATGTATGCAAGTATATCTTAATTTATTGAGAGTAATATATACAAAAAATAAAGCATAAGAGGCATAGTAAAATAAATGTGTGTGAATTTTTTTTCTTTTTGTTTTCAATTCTTTTTACCTTTTTTTGTTGAAAGTGAAAAATAAAAATCTAAGAAACCAATTAGGATTGTTTAAACCAAAATTTGATGATAACACTTAGTTAATTTCGGCTTGACTCTCGAAAACAAAAGGCATCCCTAATGGAGTCGTCAAGCTATCGTAACGGTTTTGTGTTTGCCCGACGAATTTGAAAAAAGAAAAAAAGGGAGTCGCCACCAATTTTTTTTGGCTAGGTGCGATTGGCCACCTATTAAAACATATCATTTTAATGAAATCTTAAAATTAATTAAAATTTATTAAAAGGATAATTTTAGGGCCTGTACAATAGTTTAGGTTTGAGAGTCGGTTATGTGTAGGGAATGATTAGCACTCCTACAATGCCCGTTTAAAACGATACCAATTAATTATGTGTTATCCATTGATTTTAATAAAAATAGTCTTATTTTTTTGTGTTTGAAAAATAATTTTCTAAATAATTTGTTTGATTTTTCATTTATTAAAAATTATTTTTTTTAATTTTATTTTATTTTTTAGTGCTCAAATTTTATTTGAAAAAAATAAATTAGAATCCTTTTATCAAAATAATTCTTAAAATGTTCCAGTACGCTGGTAACATTAGAAGAACATTTTCTCACCTAAAGATTTCTTAGGCATTGCTTCTTAGAATACCTTAGAATCTCATCATCGGAGGCTCAAATTTACTTTTTGTAAAAGTATATGTTGTGTATGTAATACAGAATATTACCATTTTGATGCACACATTTTATTCTCTTTTTTAGAAATTTTATTAATTGTTTTATTTTTAATTTAAATTTTTGAAGAAAAAGAAGAAATTTTTATTATATTGAAGTTTTTCTATAAATATTTCAATACATTGGTAATATTTAAAAAAACATCTTCTCACCTAGCGATTTCGTTAAGCATTACTACTCGAAATACTTTTAAAATTCCATCATTGAATAAAATTTCTTTTTTCCTTATTTGTATTATTATTAATTAATTTTATTTTTATTAACAAAAAAAAATTTTATTGTATTGAAAATTTTTTTATAAATACTTTAATACATTACTAGTATTTTAAAAAATAATTTCACCTACAGATTTCGTAGGCATCACTATTCGGAGTACCTTTGAATCTCATCGTCAGATAAAATTTTCTTTTTCTTACATTTTTTATTATTTTATAAGATTTATTCTAAAATTAATATAATTATCAAAAACTTTTATTACATATTTTATTATTTATTTTTTTAATTATTATTATAAAAAAAAATTATTTTGGTAAATTAAAACATTTTAACATGCATAAATATTAATAATAATAATTAAAATAACAAAAATAATATATAAAAAATCTAAAAAAATTAAAAAAAAACTTTTTTTTACCTAAACCAGATCGATCAACGGTTCGATCAAAGCGCGATTTGGTCCGACTGTTTGGTTTGACGTTAGTGGTTCGATCTGGTTAGGGCAGTTTGGAATCAGCGATTCGGGGATGGTTCGGTTCAATCTAAGTTGGTTCAGCTAGACCGATCAGAGGCTGAGGGATGGACAGGTCGTTGGGTCATAGGTTGGGTCACGAGTTGATGCGTGGATCTTCAAGGACTAAAACGACGTCATTTTGGGAATTTATTAAAATGACGTCGTTTTGATGCTTAGTCTTCTATATAAAAGTCCAAAATTTTTATTCAGCTCATTTTTCCTCTCTTCAAAAAAAAAAAAACTCTCTCCTTTTTTTTTTCAGGTTGATTGGGGCCGGTGATCGTTCGTGGTGACGGCCCATGTGGTCCTCGCAGGCGACAAGCTCCAACCACCGTTGTCAGTGGTAAAAAATTTCAAAATCTCCCAAAATACTCCCTTCGACTCTTTGAACCACCCAAATCTGGCCTCCGTTTTGCTAAAATGAGAATCAAACGGCCCAGATCTGCTCTTGAACTTTCAGCCAAAACTTCTCTTTTTTTTTTTTTAACTTGTTTGCCTTTTTTTTTCTTTAGAATGATTTTGTTTTTTCTTTTCGTATGGGCTCCGGGCTTGGGTTCCCCGTTTTAGGGGATTGTGTTTTCTATTATTTTTTGGTCTGGCAAAATACTTTTTTTTGGTAGGGTCTCCTCTGGTTTTTTAATTGATCTCCCCTTTTCTTTTTACAGGTAATAAGCTCTATTTATAAAACTTTCTGATATTCAAATCTCATATTTTCAACTGGTGTGGAAGACTTTTGGTGGCTGAATTCACGTTGCCAAGTTAGGCAGGGTGTTAGGCGGTTGCCGATGGTGGCAGTGACCGTGATTTTAGACTTTGGGGAGAGTGCATTTAATGCACTCAGATTTTTATCGAGCTAAATCGAAAAGGAAAAGAAAAAGAAGAACAAATTAAGAAAAAGAGAAAAAAATATAATAATAATAATAATAAATACAAAATGGTGTTTACATATTTCATTGCTAATTTTGTCATCCTTCTATCCATATTCCATCACTAAAATTGTTATTAGGGTTGGATAATTTCCGTCGCTAATTGTTCTATTACTAAAAGGATGTTTTCTTGTAATGATTCATTCATTTTTTTAAAATATAGATGTTATATGTTGTCAATGAACCATAAAATGATATATTATTAAAAAAAAATTAATATTAAAATTTCAAAATCCTAAAAAGCCAGTACACTTAATTTTAAAAAGTCATTTAAAATTATTTTTTATAAAAGATTACTTTATAATTTACTAATAATATATAATATTTATATACTTATAATACATCAAATATATATATATATCACAAGCTCTATTTATTATTGCACTTTACTAATAATATATAATATTTATATACTATAATACATCAAATATATATATATATATCACAAGCCCTATTTATTATTGCACTTTGACAGAACAATGAAGCACATATATGGCAACAACACCTGCAATATTACCCGACGCAAAACATATCCAATCTTAATCGCCGACGCTTCAATTTTAATAAGACCCTCGCATTTCCAAACTATCAATCTCGCGTGAAATCAATCTTAACACCACCAATTTTAGCAACACCCCTGCCAGTTTTAGGCACCAAAGTCACATCAATAGTATCATTACCCCCAGCTTTCAAATCTTCCGGCAATATCGTTATTCCCAACCATAAACTTGTATCTTGTGTCCATGCTTACAACAAGAATGCGGCAAATGAACAAAGCTTCCTACAAACTCTGAAAATTCTGGTCTCAAGGCATCAACACCATCATCACCCTCATAATTAATGTACACATCAAATTTCACGAATACATCTCTCTCTATTTCAATGTCTTCGATCACCAATATTTCTTCTCCTTCTTCTTGATTTGGCCTTCGAATCTCAACTCTCACTTCTTTGTCTAAAACGACCGGGAAATCATTGCTTCCTATAATGGTTTCCTTTCCATTCCTTGCCTCTTTCCTGGTAGTGGTAAACATTTGAGGAGTTGGTGGACCGGGCAGCCATGGAATCCCGACTTTTTGATAGTCATATCCCAACTTCTTATTATCAAGACAATCATGAACCTTTACGCGAGCAAGATCCTTTTTCTCATCATAGAAATAAAACGAGGAATTGTGCCAATCGTTGTCGCGGATCTGCGTCGTCTTGTGGTTTGGTAATGTGTCCCAAATCGTCCACATACGATCTACATTTGAGTGATGAGCATAGAAAAGGGGGTCCCTTGCTGCAGAGTAGAAAATCCCCATGTCTTCTCCTTTTGGTTGTCTAACATCGCCACACCAGTTATGAACCGTGTTATGAGGCATACACTCAATCGAACCAGGTCCTTGCATAGGGCGATCACCTCCACGGTATGGCCGTCCAAAGAAAAGGTAAGGGGTCGTACTATTAGATATCATTTGCCTGTGCATGGTATTGAGATTTAGCATTTTTTGTTCATCATTTGGTCGAGGTCTGTTAAGGTAATCGTAATTAAGATCAACCACCACTGGGGGTATGTGATTCTGATTACGATGTTCATCATAGAGTGAACGGTAGGCCTTAGCTTCAAACATGTCAGGCATTTCCATACCGCCAGGATGATCCCAATTCCAAAATGGCAAGGCAAAATCCGGGTCATCAATTAAATTGCCCAAGATCCTCTCAAAGAAGTAAAGATAGAGTCTGTGAAATGGGAAAAAGAGCCATGAAGAATGAATTTCAAGTTGAACGTCATACCCCTCTTGTTTATAAGCTCCATTACAGTAGGCACAATGGACGTTTGCTTGTTGCATGAAATTACGAGGATCCTCCGGAGGCAGAGCTTTCATAAGCTCAATAACCCTGGCAAATTTAGTTTTGTAGTGTTCATCAACTAAATGTGCAGCAGGCCTAATGCGCAACTGAGAAACTGGAGGTGGTTTGAAATCTATGCTCCCTTTTATTAATGGTGGGCAACAATCGAATGGCCTTACATAGCAAGGCACGTTTGGTTCACCACATGAACTCAGATCTGGAGATACTGGACGTTCTAATGGTGATGAATCAAAATTGCTAACGTTGGCTGCGCCACACACACCTCCGAGGATGAACGGGGCATTCCTTCTATCAATTGCAATGTGGTTGGGATAATATTCTCCAATATTTTTGGAACTAGGAGGATTAATATGGTTTTGGTCACCCTTTGTGGCCTTGCATGATAATATTTTGTGGGTGGTGCAAGGCTTTTTCCTTTTAGAAACTGAAACTCCGGATGTTGTTGGAAAGAAGGGAGAGAAAAAGGAAATGGGAATGGTGGTATTGGATGATATTGATGGAAGTAGAGAAGCCATGAGATCGCTTGATAGTGTTGTTTAATTTAGATTTGATACTATATGATCAACAAACTACTTGGCATTCAATTTATAGTGAATCGGTTGTTGGTCCAAAAACCACATTAATAATCACGAAATCAAAAGCAAAATCAAATAATAAAAGATTAAATATACATTCGATTTCTGTACCATACAATTTTTCTTAATTTGATACTTAAAAAAATATTTGATATATAAATTTACTTTTGTTACAAAATTTGTCCATTTTGATTAACACCATTAATTAATGAGTTGACGTGGCAAAAAAGACTAAAAAAGATCACGACATGTAAAGAATGTGCCATATCAGTTTTAAAAAAATTTTGAAATAAAGAAATTTTAGAAAATTAAGAAAAATCTTTTTTGGGATTTTTATAATTTTTTAAATTTAAAAGACAAAAGTAAAAAATGAAAAAGAATTGGAGAGAAAAAATGAGGGAAGAGAAAGAAAGAAGGGGTCGGGGACCGTGACGGGAATGGGGATGGGGAGAGATTGACTGACAGATTGTCCTCTCTTTCTGTTTTTTAATCTTGTGTTTTTTTATTTGACTTTTAAAACATCTAATTTTTAGTTTTTAAAGATTTTTTTTTTAAATGTCCGTATTTTTGTTTTTATTTTTTTTCATATTTCTAATTTTTTATATTTTAAAAAATCCATATTTTCTTTGAATTTTTCTTATTTTTATTTTTATTTTTGCTTTTTGAATTTTTTAAAAAATGATCTTTTGTAAAAAAATTTTACCATTGATGTGGCAAGGGACCACGTAGGATATGGCGTTTTTTGATTGGTCAAATATGCCAATCATAACGAAGTCAGCTTATGGCTAATTTAACTTACGAGACAAGTTCTCATGCCTAATTGAAATTTTTATTCTCCAAGCATCAAATTAAGAAAAAAAATGGTATAATTAAGAGCAAGTTGTGTTTTTAAAATAATTATAAATCATTCGCACAAAAAACAATAAATATAAAATAATTTGACACTCAATTTATCTACATTTAAGAATGAAAAAAAAAAATTTACTCATTATAAAAAATTACAAGCATATTAAATCGACAAACAAATCAACTTTTAACTCACAAACATAAGAATCTCACCCTAAATATCAAGGAATCACAAAACATTTACACCTAGTACTCTCAATCTTCTTTAGTTTGATAGAGCATATCTACACACCTAACCTTGTAAAACCCTATAATTATTCTTATATATTTTTTTAATATCTAATCTTATTAAGATTTCTTTTATGTATAAACTCACTTTCTCATTGAGTAGACTTGATCATCAAATGGTATCTCCAATAAATTCAAAAAGCATATCCAAAATATATTTCACCAAATATTTTGAGATTTGAATCAGTATTTTTAATATTATAATCATACTCTATAAGGGTTAATATATGGGTTCATTTTCAAAGGACTGTTTTGGCAAAAAAAATTTTTTTATCATATTTGAGGATACTAACAATTGAATTCAAATAACTAAAATTAAGAGTCCAACTATAAGAATGAGGTAAGTGAGGTCACTCCTAAGTTAAAATTTTATTACCAACGCTAAAAAGTTTAATTAAATAAAGATGAAAATATTTATTTATTCAAGTTTCCTAACTTATAAGCAAATAAAAAAAGAGACCCCCATAATTATGAAAAAGATAAAAAAATAAATAAAAGAAATGAATTACTTAACATTATATATAATTATTTAAACTAGCTATAAATTCTTAATTAGTGTATTTTATACTTCCTTCCCTTTCTTTCTAATTTAATGACAACTAATTTTTTTATTTTATATTTCCTCCTATTTTCCATCTAATTTAATTAGAACAAAGAATTCATTTAGATTTATTTTTTTTCACAGAATTATGACATCCTTTTTTTTCTTACTTTTAATAAAATAATACCACTAATCTAATTCTTTTTTTTTTTTTTTGTTTTCCTTTGTTTCATAACCATGCGTCAATCCTTATTTGCTTATGAGTGATAAGCTTGAATAAACATATTTTCATCATTATTTCATTGATTTTATTTAATTTTATTTTTCAGTTACGCAAGGGTAATTATGTATTTCGACATTTGTGAATAAATGTTGACTTGTTGACTAATGGATGATTAACTGTTTTAAATGGTTAAAAAATAAAAAAAAATGCATTTTGAAACAAGAGGGTGCATAATGTCATTTAAAAAATCTTTAAGGGAGGTTTTGGACTTTGTTCCCATTATATTAAGCCATGCCAAGCTCTCTACCTTGGCAGTTCATGTCAAGCTCTACCAATTGCATAAGCGACCAATAAGTTGCAGTCCCAGTAGCTTCACTTTTTAAGACAAGCATAAAATGCTTTTAGTTATTTATAAATAATTCCAACGTGATAATATTATTTGAGAAGCAACTAAAATAAAATCGTTAGTGAAGGTTACTCGTTTTGGTCATTAGAAATTACAGTTAATATTCACTATGTTTGGTAGAATGAAAAGATAATAGAGGGAAGGAAAAAAGGTGATGAAAACAATGAACAAAGAGGAAGCATAGTTGTTAAACTTTACTTTTATGTTTGGTATGAACTATGAAGAACAAAAAAATAAAGAGAAAAAAAAACATCAGAGTAAAATTATTAATTAAAGTAGAAAGAGTGCCTTCTTTTTCTTTTTCTTTTTTCTGGTGTGAAAGAGTGTTTTCTTTTCACTTTTGGAAAGATAACATTCAAAGAAAAAAATGAACAAATCCATTGATTTTTCGTTCCCTGCCTATTTTTAATTATTCCTAACAAATGAATGAAAGGGAGGAAAAAACATTAATATTTTTCCTTCACTCCTTATCTTTCCTTCTTTTTCTCTTAACAACCAAAGTGTTGTCTATTAGTAATTATATAAGGTTGTTTAGAAGTATTTTAATACCTTTGTGAATGTGGATGGGTCTTGTGGAAGAAGAAAATTTATTACCAATTACAAAATGCCACACTTGCAATGAAAAATGAGAAGAAAGACAATAAAATTTCAACTGTGTTTGCAAGAAATTAATGATTAGTTCTTCTCCAATATTAACTTAAGACAATAAAAAATTTCAACTCTGTTTGCAAGAAATTAATGATTAGTCCTTCTCAATATTAACTTTGATAAGGACAAAACATTATTATAAAGAAAATACATCGAAAGTCAATCTATATTTCCAGACAATCTAGAACATGATAAGTATATTAAGGAAACTTTGGTTCGGGGAAAAAAAGAAACATTAATATTTTTCTATCTTTTTCTTTTTATCCTACCGACCAAAGTGTTATCTTTTAGTAATTACTAAATTTTGCCCCCACTATGCTAGGATTGATATTTTTCTTTGATTCTTTTATTTTTAATATGTTTATTATCTTTTTAATATACAACAATAAAATTTTGAAT